GGAGATTGATGAGGGCTACATATGCTTTGGAAATAATGCCCAGTTTAAGACTTAGTCCATGTCTGTACATTCTGCTCCCAGACCACTCTTTCCTCACCTGCAGTACCCCTTTTTCCTATCATTTAAGTTTTTCTTATCCCACATTTAATTTCATGTTATTACCTCTTTCAGAGTGTTTCCAGAACGTGCCCTGAATGTTCTGAAGAAGATGACCGATGTCAAGTTTGATGCAATCATTGGGCAGGGAAGCACCCAGTGAAAAGCAAGAATTGATTCTCGTTTCGCAGTGGCACGAGTGAAAACAGAACATGTGCTGAGGGTAGTTCAGCTGGTTTGATACAGAACAAAGACAGGTGCTTCCAGGCCACCATTTCCAAGCACACAGAAGGGTTTATCCCGCACCTGCAGCAGGAACACACCTGCATAATGTGGAGTGTTAGCTAAGCAGAGATGCAGCTCTAAAAGTCTAAAGGACTGCTTTGAGTGTACATCACACTGCCTCTGTCTCGTAGTGTTGAGGCAGACAGGAATTCCCACAAAGCCTGTATTTGGGACAGCACAGCTGCCTATTTGAGTGCCAAGATTGCTTGAGAATATGTTAATCTGGACACATCCCTGAGCAAAGCTGTCTTGCAAGAAGGAATTTATACAGCAGGTGGGTGGCCTGTTTCACCTCAATTTATATTTTTATATGTACAATGAATTTCACATACTTTTGTACCAAGTACCTGAAACAATATAGGTGTGTATGTTATATAATACCTAATTACATCGATTATCAATTATGAATGAGCACCATCAATATGCCTTTATGAATAAATACAGTTCTTTAACACAAAGAACACGAAGTGTCTCTCGGCAGTGAAAATCATAAGCACATCCTAGAGGTGCATTTAAGGTGTGGTATCAAGTAACACACCGTTCCCTGTATCATTTCTCACACTGCTCATCTGCAATTCCCAGACACCTTTAAAACACTTCCCCATGACAACAGCGCAGTATTTCTCTACAAATTGCTGGGTGCTCTCCTGCATTTCATGCGTGCAGGAGAATGTGATTTGTTATGTGAGAACCCAGACCAAGTTGGACGGTTTTCCTCTTTACATTACAAGGCAATGAATCCAACTAATGAAAATTCTGCAGTCTGTCTGTGTCAGTATTCATAAGTCAGAATCGTGTTATTAAAGAAAAGAGCAAGGTTATGCTGAGCCAGGAAAGCCTTCGTTTGCATGCAGCAGGTGAGTTTAAGTTGAACTCCACTCATGAGAACTCCTGAATATGTCTTCATTTCAATGAATTAACATGTCACAGCACAAAGTTAAACCCCTACAGGCCCTGGATAACACATGTGCCTCCATATACCTCTTTTCCGTCCGTGTCTTCCAACATGTGCACCCGGCTGAGGGTTTATGTTTTCCACTCCTATGAAACGCTGCCTTGCTACTGGAGAAAATGCTGCAGCAACAACATCCCTGCGTAATCTTGGACTTTAATTCCCAGCTGTGCTGTGCCCCTTCCACATGCAGGGGAGCAGTGGAGTAGGGACTCTTGGCAGGAGAAGGTACGGCAGGTGCTGAGGGCAAGGTGGGCATCACACCAACGTGAAACCACCCCACTGCTGCTGGGTAAAGACAGCAGAGCAGATGCTGCAATGGTGGAAGGGTCAGCCAGAGCCTGCCAACCACCAGGCCAGGCTGCAGGGATGAGGCAGGTCCTGTGGTCACACCAGGAAGTCACATCAGGATCAGTGAGGTACAGGGCCAGGCATGGCACACCACCAGCACAGCCCACACAGGGGCTGGGGCCAAGGCCAGGGCTTAAAGGTGGGTGCCAGGGAAGAGAGTACACGGGAAAAGGCTCCAGATGAGCCTTTGCTCAGCTCCTCATCACAAACCAGTGGCCTGATCTGATGGGACCCACCTTGACTAGGAGGTTAATCCCTCAAAGGCCTTCAGCCTGTGGTGCAAGAGAGCAGCACCTGATGAAACACAGGTCAAAGACCCCTTTGAAGCACAGGTTATCTGTGCACCTACTTGTGCAACTCCCAGCCACTGCAGGGACTTGCTGGCTCACAGCCATCTGAGGGAGGCCTGAATACGCTGCCACCTTTGGCACAGTTGGAATCCATCCTGCTCACCTGAGCATTTCTTGTTGTCCTGTAAACAGGTTCTTCAGAAAAGGGAGACCACTCAGCATCCAGCTCCTCCTGCTCTTAGTTGGCAACATGTAAAAGTTTGTGCTGCCATCAGCACAAACAGTGGCTAAAGGTGCTAAATGAAACAAAAATAGTTCCCATTTTTTTCATGGAACATTCATGTAACAAGACACTCAGGGTGTGTCAAAGCACAAGTTCCCAGGTTTGGATCTTTTGCTTCATAGTGGAGAATTCCCAAGACAGAAAAAGAAAGGAAGAGTAGCAAATTTCAGAGAATTAAAAACCTCAAAAGGTTAAAAGTAAATTAAAGAATGTTAGACGTGGTTTGTATTTAAAACCAAGACCCTCCAAATCCCAAATCTGAGAACAGTGATTTAATGTCCTTTTTCTACTCTGAAAGAAGTTTTTCATTTTGTCCTGCTTTTATTTGAGCTCTTGCTGAGAGGGCTGGCCTGTCACAACAGAGAGCCACCTGGTCTTCTATATGTTGCTTGAATTTCCAAGGCTTCTGCTTTGCATAGAGACAAACAGCAAGGAGTTAAGTCTTCATCTCCTGACCACCAGTGACAGAACTGATTCATCAAGCCTCCCAGGCTCCTCAGTTTTCTTTCACAACAAAAAACTGAAGCTTATCCCAAACTCTGGTTTATTACTGGTGCCCAGCAGGAGCCTATGTGAGCAAGCTTCATATAGTCACCTACAGCTAAACACCAACTTTGAAGAGCGGTACCTCACACCCTGGCTTAAGGAGTTATTAGGAGTTATGAGTCCGGTTGGTGACTCTGGCCTTATGCTGTGCCTCCTGCTGAGGTGTCTCTTGAAGTCAATGCTTCTATGCCCTCCCTGCCTCCCCTGCCTTGGCCAGCACTGACTGGAGCCCTGTGCCAGAAAAATGACAGCACCGCTGTGCCATGCAATTAGGGTCTGGCCCAAATGCTGATGTATTAATTAAGCAGAGAATGAAGTTCCAAGAGGAAAGGAAGAAGTGCCTAGCTTGGAATGGCTCTGCTGAAGCCGACCCAGTCTCCTGCAGACATGATGAGCAACAGCTCAGCTAAAAGCACCACGATGTTGGCTAGAGGCCTGTGGAGCTCCTTCCCCAGCTCTTCCAGCTGTTCCAGTTTCAGAAAGCACAAGAGAGTAAGGAGCCCACAGGGATTTTATGGGCCAGGTGCACTATGTACTCCCTGAGCTGCTGCACCCAGCGTGCAGATGCCAGTGCTGGGACTACCCTGCTGGCTGACAGAGGCTCTGTTCCCCAGTGCTGGAGGCATGAAGGTGAACTACTGGTATCATAAACCCTATAGCTCTGTTTGGAAGCCATATGGCCAAGCACCATGCTCATGCACTGTTTTGCAGTCATCCATACTGCTGAAATGTTAGCCGGATTCCTGGCGCAGTTGTGTTCCATAACCCTATCTGGCAGCAAACAGCATATTGTGGGGGCAGTGCATCCCCGGATACAGGGCTGCTGGGCAGGCAGCGTGGGTGAAACCATATGCTTTGCAAGAGAAGTGGAAGTTTATGGACACAGAAGCCTTTTGAGGACACCATCCAAATCAACAGTGAATAAAACAAAGGAGCAGCTGTGATAGTTTCCCTCTGTCTACTACAAATGTTCACTAACTGGTCTGAGACTCGAGAGACTCATTATTGGGGGGAAGAACAACATTTAACAACAATATTTAATGATCATAATTACTGTGTTCACTGTGATAGGTAAAATTTTCAAGAGACACTTAAGTGGCTTCAGCTCATCTCGGCCACATCTAGTCTTACAGAATTTCGAATGGCATAGATTAAAGCTCCCCACAGCACTGCCACCTGACCTCTCTCTTCAGCAAAGTCTGAGAGTACTTCTTCGAAGACTGGCTCTGCTGCATTTTTCTAAAGTCCTTGAATCCTGCTCAGAATGTTAAGAGAATCATCTCAACCTGTGTTTCTTGCCACAAACCTAAGCCACTTACAAGTGAAAATCATGGCTGTACATCTTACTGCCACTGTCTGCTCGCACTGAGGCCCCAGCCTCATGATGGGGGCAATACTTACAGTGTTATAATGCTTGCAGGTAATGCCAGTATACATAGAATACAGGCAGTTTTAGGTAGCATTTCAGAACACAGATTTCCAAATGCAGAGAACCTCCTGAATCCAGCAGTTAAATGAAACTGAACTTTTGTATTGTTTTGTGGGTTTTTTTCTACTGCTCCACTGTAATTAAGCATCTGAAATCACTGGTGGTTCACAGTGTGGCAAAACTGCCTGCAAAATTCCAATCTGACTCAAATTGTTGGTACCCTCAACTTTCTGGATTATTTCATTCTGCATCCAGTATCTGACCATGCAGGTTTCTCTTTTCCAAGTAGGTCTTTTGCTTTGTTTGAACTCACCCTTAAGTTTTACTGCAAAACCACTATCAGACTATGAATAAGCTCACATTTATCCAAGAAGCCAGGTGTTAGTAGGAGTAAACTTGCTCTCCTGCAAACTACTTCCCCTCTGTGTACTCAGCCTTTTCACAGCTGGTAGCTGATCATTTTCAAAGACATCACAATCAAAATGTTTTTCAAGAAACATCAGCACACTAATTAAGAGCGGCTGTTAGTTACAGCTAACACAGCCATGTTACTCCTGAGATTCAAGTGAATATCTCTGACGAGGACTCTGCAGATACTCTGTAAAGGAGACTCCTTTTATATATGTCAGTTGTAATGGTTGTGACATTAGGAATGAGTGAGTGACAGCCATTTAAAGGCAACATTTTATGAACATAGTTTATACTCACTGTTCACATGTTCACTCTCCGGATAAAGAATTCCTGACTCACAAGGATTACTTTGTTCCTAATCCAAAATATGTATGGTTAATCAGTAACCAACCTAGGGGCAGGAGCTGCTGTAGCTCACTTTGTGGTCTCTTTCCTCAGGAGCAAGGAATAGAGAAAAGGGAAGAAATGTGCCAAACAGAGGTGTGTTCTCCTTTAGCAGGATGACCTAAGTCCATGCATACCACAGGCCTATAGATAAGAAAGCAGTAGCACAGATTTTTTCAGGTAGTTATTTTTCAAGCCATGGTTTGTTTCAGTTTTGCCCTGTCACACACAACGCTGTTTTTACATCTGCAGCCTCAGAAGTCATGAAACTTGGGACGCTGTGTACACAGTTACATTAAGCACATTAAGTGCTTAAAAACATAATATGGATCACAGGCAGACAAATCCTAAAGCATGATCCTCAAAAATCTAAAGCCAATTTTAGATAGCGCCTGTGCTGTGCAGTGCTGAGCTACCAAAGGCACTGAGAAAGAGATGTTTTGCATATATGGATAGCCCCATGATTATCTGCTACCTTGGAGCCTGGCAGTGGTACAGCTGTGTTAGTGCTGTTCTGCAGTAACATGTTTGGGAAAGGGGTTGTTCTTCATTCGTCAGCTAACCCAGGATCTCTGGATGATGCCAAGTGACATGGTGCAAACCTCTACTCAGTGCATGACACCTCCTTGGCAAGACAAAACTACCTGGCATTCAGTCTCTATTCAAAGCCTCCTCAAGACAGGTGTTTATGCTCCTGTGTGTCTCACCTTGTAGGCATATCTGACACACACTGATTTAGCTGAGCTTAGCACACAAAGCCACAGTCACTCGACACCCAAAGATCCTTTTCACCCAAGCTTATGTCCTGTCTC